TAAAGAATCAAGCTTCAGTTACATTTCTTTGTAATGTGGGTTTTATAGTTTTCAGTCGGGCTCTTATTGTTAGGTTATATTTGACTTCAGGTATCTTTCTTTGCTTCTTCTAATATCACCCTTCTTCTCTTTTCTCATCATCTCTATTTCATCACATTAAGCATGCTGCGTTTGTTAGAAACCAAAACCAAGTAAAACTACATCAGGAAGACGATCACAGACATTATGTAAAAGCCATAAGCTCTATCTGTGACAAGAGAACTAGTGTATATGGATGAGAATCTTATTACTACATTATAAAAGCCCAACCAGTCTGTCTCTTTGTCCCTGACAAGGCCGTCCCCCGTCTTGTCCCCCTGTTGTCTCTGTTCTGTTGTCTAACCCTGAGTGTTACCACTCTGTATATCTGTCTAATTTATCAGTTTCTTGTAGATTGTCAGCAGCCTGCTGCCTCATTATCGTCACTTTCCCCACAACTAAGGCGAGGGAGAGCGTCCCTAGTCCGCAGGTAACAAGATGTAGAGCCTGCTAGAAGTGGGATCACCAACATCTGCCTATCTCATGCCAAAAAATCGTAGCTGTTGCACATTCTCTCTTTTTTTTACTGCACATCTGCATCTGGGCTACATCGATTGCCCTGCATGTTCTTAGTTTTCACTCTTATCATGATTTAGTTATTAACGGGTTACGGCTGAAACTAACCCAATAAAAACCAATAATTAACTCTTCACTGAACCATCGAGTGAAATAATTGTTTTCACTTTGCATGTACAGTTTTGCATGGCAGTTTTATATTGACTTCATGCTATTACTGTAACTCATTTAATGCCAGCTCTCTTTTTTTAATTTGAAGTTAAAATCATGACATTATAGAAAGAATTTTGTGCAAAAATTTCACTTTTTTTAACTTTTCTCTCTATAAACTTTTTTGGCTGCTGGGTGGAAATCAACATTTGCAGTCAGAGTACAGTTTTGAAAGAACGCTTTCTCTATTCATCTGAAAATATAGTCAACAAATAATAATATACTCAGTGTATATTGAGTTTCCCAGCAGTTTGTGATGCAAACATTAAGACACCAATAATTATAATCTCAAAATACTACTCTAAATGTGGCCATGTTACATAGTAAGTACTTCATATTTTCTTTTAATTTCCAGTAGATGTTATTGCAATTATTTTGTATCTGTATCTGTGGTGGTTTTAAAGGTTTAGACATTTTGGGAGATATGTTTCACTAATTTGTCACTTCTGTTTGATATTTACAAAAAATCTAAGTCTAAAACAAGTTTCCAGTCTTAGTGCTACGCTAAGCTAATCGTTGGCAGCCATGTCGGTGTAAATATTCAAACATGAGTGGTATCAATCTTCAAAAATTTTAAAAATGATTATTTTTTCTCTCCAAAATGTTGAAACTTTTCTCTTTTTGCTGTATGCTGCATCTTCGTTGATTTGCTGTAACCTTATTCTTCCAGCCACTGTTTCCCTTCTTCTGCAGCCGTAAATACACGTTTTCACTCAGTCCTGTTTATCCTTCTGTCCTGTGTCTCTTTCAGTCGTAAATTTGTGGCAGACCTCCAGGATCATCACGCAGTTCTGTCCAGCGGCAGCCGCCTCCTCTCCCCCTGCGACCCTTGTAACCATCTGGTCCAACTACCCCACCCACCCGGCCCCTAACTTCACTGCTCCAGCCCGGGTGCTGGCCTGGGTCTAGAGACACTCTGGAAGGGAGTTCCTTCAGTTTGACTCCCATTAAACCGCACAGTCTATCCTGGTGTGTAATGGACTCTGAGACCCCCGCCTACACCCCAACTCTGAAGGCCACACGGCCCCCCCGCAGGCCTCCTGGTTCCCTAGGCTGCAGAAGAAGAGCGGGGCGCTCTTGTCCTGGAAAAGAACTGGACTGAGGCGCAAAACGTCACAGAGACAAATCAGGGGGAAATCTCTCCCCTTATTCTTACCAGTATTTATTTATAATTTATTGATTGTTTATTGATTTGTGACACGATATATTTATTACTGGAATGTTTTTTTCTGTGTTGGTTGGATGGAAATCAAGATGTGTTTGATTGGGTGAAGTGAGGTGAAGGCCTCGGTGAATCTGTACTCAGCCAATTCTGTTCTATTCAACAAAGAAAAACCTTTGCAACCAAAAACAGATCTTCCACATTGCAAATGTTCTTACTGCTCTAATGAAGAGGTTGAAAACTTGCCTAATCCAATTCTACAGCATTTAAGACGTTAGATTAATAATCATAAATACACAGTGTATGCCATTTTAAATAGGAGCGTGAGAGTACATTGGGTTTGACGTTGCAAACAGACTAATGAAGCATCGTGTCTTGTGGTGGTGACGGGTGGAGTTCAGCTGCCGTTCTAACGCCACTAGTGTTTCTTGGAATGCCTGTTTTTTTATACAACTTTTTAGTTTTTTGCAGATCATGTGCATAAAGAATATTTTATACCTTTGTTTAGTTTTATTTATTTTTACAGCAGACTCTGGTGATGTGGTTGTGTCTGTTAGCGCAGATCTCTGTAGAGACTGAGGTAGATGAGAGGAAGTTCGGGATCAGGACTAGGGCTGTTGGCCTGGGGGGGGTTTCTTTTGCCTTTTTGAATTGCACAGGTTTATGTGACCATGCAGTGATCTGACCCTCGCTCTTTTAAAGTCGTGAAAAGAGGATTCCCCCAGGAGTGTGCCTCTGATTCAGTTTCCGTCACCTTCATGTCAACACTGTATTCTCACTGTAGAGTGTTCTCTCTCTCCTCTCTGTGAACTTATTATTTATCATCTCCTCGTTGAGTTGTCTCCACACGCTTCCTTCAAACAGTATGCAGTACTGTCCAAGCACAATTATAGCAATACAGTGGTGGAGCAGGTCGTAGACAGATCTGGATGAGATTCACGTGATCTCTCAACCATTTCCGTCTCCACGAGCTAACCAGCAGGCTGATGAGAAGAAGAAGACAGCAAGAGTCTCTCCGACTTTCTCAGAGTGACGCAGTTACAGCATTACTGTCAATTTTCAATCACTGCTTTGAGACAGATGCAATTTGTGATGTTTATTACATAATTGAAATCCCCTCTCTCTGTCGTTATAAGGTCATACCTTCTTTAACGTGGATGTCGTCGTCACTGCTTTGATTACACACTTTTTGCCACATGGATATGAAATGGACAAACTAAAACTACATAGCCAGTATTGTGTTGTGATGACAGATGAACCATTTCCTGTTGCGGCTGTGGAAAATGATTGGAGTCTTTCTGTTCTCTGTGTGTACATTTGTTGCATTTGTCTATGTTGACTATGTAGATTGTTGCTCTTTGCAACTACAGAGTGAGGAAAACTACCTGTGGTCCAAAAGTAGCTCCTGAACCCATGCAGGTTAACTCTCATGGTTTGTTTGCACAATAAAGCTGTGATGGAGAGAGACTAATCCAGTGAAAGGAAATTAAAAAAAACTGAGGTTTAAAAAGCTGAATGCTGTATTACTGTGGGTTTTACAGTTTCTCCTCCATTTTAAAATAACGTGTTTAATTGGTTTCACAAGTAAATTAAAGATCTGTCCTTGAATTTATATGTGACCGTTTGTGTGTGTGTCAGTTTCTCTATCCAACTGTTTTCCGATCATCCATGGAAGACTTTAGATAAAGATGGACGACATGACAGCTACCCAGAAGTGAAGCCAAACATTTAATCGCCCCCTGGTGTTTGTACCGGGGATATTTTGGCTTCATGTTTGGATAGTGGGAAGAAGTGGACACGTCGTTTATCCTTATATATAATGTATGATCCACTCAAATACACACACACGCATACACACGGTGGATTAGTACGTTTTAAATACACTTAATGGATCTTCACGTAATGAGAATATTTCTCATTTGAATATTCTGTAGTATTGTATAATTGTTCTCTAATATGTTCCAGTTTTTATATATTATAAAGGCTTATAGATGAACTGTTTCCACCTCCCTGACAGAAAACAAGTGAATCTTGTAGTTTCATTAATGAGCTTTAAACAAATCTGCCATGATGTTTCTGTTAAAAGTTAAATAAATCTGTTCTTGCAACGCGGTTGATTCTAGAAAGTGAAAAAAGTCAATTAGAACGAGGCCACATTACTCAAAATGTAAAGAATTGTTGAGAAAGATTTGACTCATCTGTGGAATGTTACTAAGTACATTTACTCATGTAACTGTGAGGTACACTTGTACTTTCACTTACATTTCAGGCTACTTTACACTTTACCGGTACAATATTTGACAACTTTTACTTTTTAGTTTTAGAAGAAAATATTGATTTTGACAACTTACAAATAATGAGACATGAGATTGTTTAGTGTGTGTGTGCGTGCGTGTTTGGGGGGAGGGGGGGGGACAGTAAGGACATTGTGTGGCTTTAACAATAAGGAGGTCTGCACCACCAGCTCCCACTGGGGGGGGGCGTGGCGAAGGAAACACCCCCATCATCAAGGTGAAATTGTGGGGGGGGGGATTAGTGGATGAGGCCGAGCCAGCTGTTACAGATGTGTGCAGCTGTTAACGGATCGTGTGTCGCTCCCTGTGCGGATGTTCAGGTTTTATAAACAAGCAGCGCACACGTGGATCCGAGGCGCAGCTGGAGCAGGACGCACAGGACGCGCGGGGCTGAGTTCTTCTCTACGAAGTGACTGCGTCTCTTAAAACTTCTGTAGTTAAGTGTCGATCGTTTTGAAAGCGTTGTATTTGCGTGTCTCGATGCTGGAGCGGCCACTGCTTCACAGGAGAATGGACGGATTTAGCAGAGTCGCTTTTCGAAGGAAGGAACAAAGTATGGAATGTGAGGAGCCAGAGGAAGAAGAAGAAGAAGAAAGTGAGTTTCGTATATGAACGCTGGGAGATTATTATCATAAAGAAAGTTAACTTAATTATCACCCATGAGATTGATTTAAACTGCTGATTATTTTTACATGATCATACTGTGGGTATTTTGTGAGTACATCAACTCTTTACGCACAGCAGCTCCACGAAAACATCTTGACAACGTCTCCACCTGTGACTCAGAATTGTGACTTGTTGGATTGTCTTGCATTAGCTGTCATGTTTTTCTCAGTCTGGTTGGGAAAGCTTGGAATGACCACACTGCAACACACCTATACACACCTAGGCTACATTACAGCCGTGTTTACACAGCACTGCTGCTGACTTACTGGCTGCTCAGCAGGTATGAAGGTTTCTCAGACAAGCCCCAGCCTGTTGTGTAACCATCCACATGCTGGAGGGCACATTTCTTTTTCAGTCTGGAGTTCAGGGAAAACTTCCTGTGCTCAAGTTGCAAACCTCAGGAGCACGAGGTTCACTTGCACTTTTTATCTTTGCTTTGGATTTTCATATGTGATCTGTGTGGGATCCGTTTCCATGCGCTGAAAGTTTGCCAAGGCTTCGATCAGATTAAGTCTGTCTATATCTCTCAGAAAACAAGCATCCAAATACATGTCAGTAGAGTGTCTGGGCATGAACAGCTACGACAGGGGGCACTAGCATGACTCCTTCAGATCTTGCAAATCTGTGGCGTTCTTGTGCAAACATGCCTCCAAAGATTTCCTGTTCTGCACTTGCAGCTTGATGTGGACTTTGCTCTGTGCTTATTTGTGCTATTTGTTAAGACGAGGACTGCAAGCTCTCTCAACTCCAGCCACTTTGTCTGTAGGTGAGTCAGGAACTGAGGTAGTGTTATCTGTCAGTGAATCACTGTTTTAGCAATACTGAAGTCAATAGATCCATCCTCATTGCTCCCAGCTGTACTGCAGCGCCTCGTTTGTCTATCGCAGATGAACTGTTTCCACCTCCCTGACAGAAAACAAGCGAATCTTGTTGTTCCATTACTGAGCTTAAAACAAATCTGCCATGATGTTTCTGTTAAAAGTAAAATTAACAGAAACATTTAGTAGAGTGCATACCTTCACCAATAAACAGGGCCTTTGAGAAATCACATTTAAATCCTCCACATTCAGATTATTAGGATCCGTACCAACTGGCACACATTCATATCAGTTCCCTAAACCTGATAAGATCCATGAATAATTCCCTGGGGAATCGCTGAAAATGCAAAAAATAAAATGAAATAAAACAACAAAACACCCAATTTACTAGTGAGTGGAAAAAGAAAATCCTGGATCTGCACCTTTGTCTACATCCAAAATGTATTGGGTTCTTTCTTGGCCCATGTCGTATCCTTCCATCAACTTTTCTGGAAATCTGTGCCGTGGTTTTCGTGTAATCATGCTGACAAACAAACGACCCACCCAACCAACCTGGCATGGCACTCAGTAGACCGCATACGTCTGCCAAGACCCAACAGTCTCCTTCAATTCAATCAAGCTGCACTAAATTGAACACTCCAACATTTAATGGGTCCTTTGTGGCCCATTTCTCATCCTTCTAACAATTTTCTTGGAAATCCATTCAGTATTATTTGAGCAATCATGCTGAGAAAGAAACAAATAAGGGAGAAAACATAAACTCCTGGGCAGAGGTAATAGGATCCTGTGGTTCCATTGGTTTTGTTATGCCGGATCGATCCTGTATTTCTTGGAACATGGATGCGATTTCATTACACAAGCACAGTGTTTTCTCATAATGAAGACGTCTTGCGGCTTACATTTTAGGTCACCATAAAACTGGCTTTTATCCTGAGTCCATTAATGTGTGCTGGAGAAAAGAGCGTCATTATCAAAGATGTCTGTTTTGTTCTTGAACAAATGTGTGTCACACTGATCTGATTTCACAGAGTCATCTTTGAATGTGAATTACATGACACTGTTATCCTGTTGGCTCTTGTATAACAGAGGTGGGTGTCGTAAATGCAATGCAATATAAATATTAACACTTTTATTTATCATATACACTTCAAACAATGAGTTTGCAGCAAGGATAAAAAAAAATGAAAAAATCTCTCTTAAAATTGCCTCTTATTGATTTAAACATGAACCGTCATTATACCTCACATGTAGAAGAGATATATTTGTCGCTGTAGCTTTAGGGCACGTCAGTGTTGTGTTGTTACTGTGAGTGCAGCTGAGTCTCAGACAGAGGAGCTGTGTGTTCTCTGCTCAGACAGAATCAGGGGGAATGGTGGCCGACTGTTGCTGGGGTTGTTTTTTGTGACACTGATGTCCATTCAGCCTGAACTCAACCCTCTCACTGTCTCTACTGACACTTCATAGCAGTTCCCTCATGCAGCTCAGTTCATGATGACTTTAAGAGGATTTATTTTTTCATATGTCATGCTGTGCTGCAGCGAATCATTATAAACCACCTATAATCACACCTTCTGGTGTGGAGAGCTTCATCTGTGATTTGTTTCTACAAAGTCAGATGAAAATGATTTTCTTTACCATGCTGCTTTACAGAAATATCCTTATAGTCTAAGCAAGATGCATAGACACATTTAGAAATGTACTATTCTATAAGCTTTTTGTACCGAATATTGTGATTGTCAAGGAAAAATATCTTTGCCGCCTGGTAATGACATAAATAATTAGTTGCGTAAAAAAAATCCCAATATAATATGAACGTTTGGCTTTATACTGGGGAATCAACAACTAACCACATTCTGCAGTTCTTGTTAACTGTCAGTATGTTTCAGCTCATTGTTTCCACAGACAACAGGCAGCTGATTCAAACAAACAGTTCTGATAAAGCCCATGTTTGCCATACACACAGCAATACTATGGCCTCTGAGTCAAGCAGTTTAGCTGCTAAAGAACCAAATGTTTTGTAAATCCAGAGCTTAAAAGAGAGTGAATATTCATACGACTAGAAACACTTATCTATGTATGAATATAGATGTTTTTTTATATTAACGTCATGCCAATGCATTTGGCCAATCCGAATCTTGCATAGGAAACCACTTGTTTAACAAAACGTTCACCATTTCCTCAAACTGGCTTTTATATGTTTTAATATGTAAACAGCTCAGTCTTTGTGCATCATGCATATTTTAAAAAATCATTTTCTTTTTGTCTTTGTAAAGCAGATGATCACGCAGTTCACAATCAAAGGCAGTTATGTAAAGTACAATCTAGTTTTAAACGGAACAACCTGTTACTGTGCAAAGTCTTGAAATTAAATAAGTGCTTTTTATATGTATGTAGAATACAGTTAGGAATTTGTACTGAAGATTGAGCTCTCAGTGTCAGTTTATGACTTTCTCTCATTCAAAGGTCAGATTTCACTTTGGTACAACATCATTGTGTGCACTGAACCTTGTCTGTTTATTATTGTCACTTATATGCCAGTTGGCCGAGTGACTGTAGATTTTAACGAATACATAACTTCTTATTACATGGAGGAATGCATGATTACATCATTCCCTTGTTTGACTCTTTCTCCTGAGTTTACTGTGTCGAGCGGAGACGTCTCAGACAGGACGTGATTGTACATTAAGGTGTGAAGGATGTGATTTGTTTCAGTTGATAATCACTATGGGGAGCAGTCAGAAGGAAATGGCTAATATGTGTGGGGTTTTTTTCTTTGTGATATCGCTCTGCAGTGGATCACACATGATCAGACACGACACAAAAACACA